GGTGAGGGCCAACCCCTCTTCCCTGCCATGACTTGTTCTTCTATATCACTTGGGAGGAAGATCTTAGTCCCCGTGCGTGTTGTCTTTAATCCAGCCCTGGCACTGTCTTCTGGGGCTCCATCTCCCGTACACCCCGCCTTACGCCAACATTCAAGATCTTAAAAAGATGTTCAAGGGCATGCAGGCTATGCTTTCTTATAGTGCCTTCTGAGGTCGATAGCATATAAAGCAAAAACACATAGGAAAACTCAGAGATCACTCCAGGGCTTAGTCCCTTATCACAGTCCTCTAGCCCAGAGTTGGACCACTCAGGTCCTTGTCTTGCTAGACCCCTCTGACTTTAGGGTCTGCAGTCAGAACAGTCCAGTATGAACCATGCTTGACCACACTGTACTCATAATTCTTCTCTGTCTGGTCCCAATCATCTGTCCCTGACTGCCAAGACACACTTGTGGGTAAGTCATTTGGCTCCTCTGAGTCCCTTCGATGGGTTTGCTGCCAGCAGGCTGCTTTCCACCATTCACCCCTCCCGGGGCTTCCAGACCTCACTTTCGGTTCTCCCGGGTTCCTGGGTTGGGTCATTTTTAAGCTGGGCATGGGGTTCCTCCTCTTTAGGCAGCAGCAGCATGTGCTTATAAAGCATGATCATGTTGGTGATGGAGTTTCCTCTGTGTTTGTCCTTTTGCTCGGCACCGCTTTTCGTTGCTGCTTCACTGTCTCTCACTGTCTCTGCAGGTAAGGTTCTTCTTGGATTCTCTCCATGCTGCCACAGACACATAGTGATCTTCTCTGTAGGAATCAAGAACATCTCTGCAAATTCCACCTGTTTACCACAAAAGGTCTAGACACACCTCAGTTCCACTGAAGAGATTAGACCTGTGTACTAATAGGGTCTAAATGAATAGACTTACCAATGTTTCTGCTTTGTTTAGGTTCCTTTTGTAACTGTGTATCAAGTTTTCCCTTGAGAAAGGGGGATGTAGTAGTAAGGGTTAACTCCCTTACTAAAGAGCGATATCATCCATCAGTCGACCACTTTGGGTGAAGAGTTAGTTGTTACAATAAAGGCTTAATGAGGAAAAGGAGTCTTCCGGCTTCTTCCTAAGACCCAGAATAACACATATGCAAGACCCTGATGAGATCTGGATGCCCGCCAACATTAGTTAGCATAATCAGGCTTCATCATGACAATATGACAGCAACTCTCCTGAGCAATGATTTAGAACCAGAGCCATTTGCTGTTAGAACTCTATTATTAAACCCCTTCTCTATTAGAACTGAAGGCAAGCAAGGATGTGTGATTGCACTAACACTCTGTCAACTTCATGAAAATCAAGATACTTTACCATCCCACCCCAAACCAACCAACTGCTCCTCCACATATTACAATTAGAGGATAGTCCTCAAAGAATGTTAAGCATTTCTCCTACCTGGCTAGCCACCTTTCCCAAAAAGTAAATACAGACAATGATATTCAACACCAGATAAAATTTCCCAGTATTTCCTTTGGACACCTCCAAAATTGTGTCTTCAATGATTATGACTTCAGGACCCAGACCAAACTTCTTGTCTACCAGGCTGTTGTCACTCTTACTCTGTTGCTTGGGTGTGAAACTTGAATGACATATCAGAAACAGCTGAGAGCTTTGGAATTTACCATCCATCTGGAAAATTATCCATGTCACCTGGCAGGACAGAAGAATGAATACCAGCCTTCTGGCTCAAGCAAACACCCCCAGCATTAAAGCCATGTTTATAGGGCACCAGACTCCGTTGGACAGAAGATGTCACACGGATGCCTGGCAACTGACTCACAAAATAGATCCTACATTCCCAGCTAGCTCATTGATGGTCTCTGCTCTAGGGGTGGACAAAAGAAGAAATTCAAGGACGCTTTGAAAGCTAATCTGAAGAAATACAGCATTAACATCAATACCTGAAAGACTCGTGCACTTAATAGTCCCCAATGGTACAACGAGGCATCAACCATTTTGAGCAAACTTGCCTCACTATAGAGGCAGATAGAGGAGAGAGAAAAAAGGCAGGGACTGCGACCAGACATCACCAGGAACTACTCCTTCCTCCTAGAACTATTTGCCAAGTCTGCTTCCTCAGTCACCTACTGACTCACTGATGACTTCTTTATTTGATAGAAAACTATCATCTTTCCATTGAGGGACAGATGACAATGATGCTAGACACTTGTTACACATGCAGGTAAGGTTTACCAGTCAGGGGGCACATCTACATATCACCCTACGTCACATGACGCGCTATGATGATGTAGCAATCACGTGAGTCTGCACATGATGAGCAGCTACTTCGCTGTTGTGGCATGCTCCCCCATTCTAGCACATCACTATGGCGAAGTAGTAGCTAAAACTGACCATGCTCTATGTGCACGGCACAGTATGGGGGAATATACTATGGGAAGTACTAAAGCACGGTTCAGTAACATTGCCGTAGGGCAAAGTGTAAACATGCCCAGGATGTCTGAAAATATTTTATATATTAGTTTAGTATATGTGTGTGTGCAGGTTTTAAATGTTATTATATAGCATAAAATACAAAAGAAGCTAAAAGAACATAGTAAACTATTGTGAAGATTTTGAATTCAACTCACAAGGGCAAGGAAATCAGGAGATAAGTTTAAAACTCTGCCTTTTCTTAACCTACACCCATTATGCCCAGCCAGTGCAGTTAGTATATTCTATGGTTCTAGTATATTCTATGGTGCCCTGTTAAAAAAACAGTAGTACAGTAGTTGCCAATTCATTACTGATTGGGTGGTGTGAGAGAAATTCCTTAATATTGTAAATTTTAAGGCTTGTTCTGATCAGATTTGAGGAAAAATGTTTTGCATGACTAATAAAAGTTGGTCCAGTAAAAGATACCACCCTAAGAAACCCTTGCCCCTCACATCACTCCTGGAACATCATGGCTTCAACATCACTCTGACATCACCAAATTTTAATCAGGCCCTCTGTTGTTAACTTGAAATAAATGCAGCCTGCTTGGAAGTGACTGTTGTTTGAAGGGCTGAACACAGAGCAAGGAGGAAGGACTATTTATTTCACTCTTCACTAAGACTCTCTCTAGGATGTAACCAATAATGCTGGAAACACCAGAGAAGAGTACATCCAGTGAATATGTGATACCAGTATCAACAGTCCTAGAGATCATTAGCTAACCAGAGAGTAACTCAATTAAACCCCAAGGAGGAAGAGGAGGCTGAAGTTGGTTCTTGATTCCCAAGTCTGTTCGGAGTGACCCAAAAAGGATTTTGCTCAATCTCAGCTCCTTTTTCAGGGCAATATAATTGATACATGATCATATTTGGCATTTTTGTGAATAAATATTCATGTAGCAGCTATCGCTTCTCAGCCTCTTGAAGGCTCAGATTAAGTACAGTGGCTTCTTAACCCAGCAGGGGAAATACCATGGATCTGTGTCCAACAAGGCAGTTTTCCTGAACCGCACCCCAGGAGAACTGCTCTTCTGGCCTGGTTCAGTACCCATGGAGGCGCAGTGGCTTTAAGCCCAGTTTATGGAAATGGGAGCCTCCTCCCTTGCTTGCTCCGAGCGCTTTATGGCTGAGGGCAAGTGAAACTTGGGGGCATCCGAACCCCAAGCCTCTGGGCTTGGGCCTGCAAGTAGGATGCCTGCCAAAGGTTTTGGGAACATCTGAAGCCCAAAGTGCGGGTGAAGAACGTTTGCCCGTAGTGGGGCCACTTCTGGGTCTGGACTCTTGGATTTGGAGTTAGTTTTAGCTAATTGGCCTCAGATACAAATTTAAAATAAATAAATCTTCATTGTTCTAACTCTTTAGTCTGTCTGTTTCATTGCTAACAACCCTTAAGTGTGTAAAAGATTAGCTTTGAAAAAGGAACAGGGAATAAGGAACCCATTTCAGCCTCCCGGAGGAGGAGGGAAGGTGAGCACTTGAATCCCCCCTCCCGTGTGATGGCCGGTGCTTACTCATTTGCCTCAGGGGGGTGTCGAAGGGATTAAGCAGTTAATGGCTGCGCGGGGCCAGCATCAGCGCCGTTGCGGCCGCTAAGCGCTCCCCGCCTTGGCGTGCGCCTGTCCGTTGATAACGGCTCTGGGGGCTGTGGCGCCCGGCGGGCCGCAGCAACTACAGCCCCTTGGGGCGGGTTTTCCCCGTTTCCCAACCCACTGCAGCCATGTCTACAAATGCCTCCCTCAGGCGCACCGCGGCAGCTTTGATGGCGGTAGCCAGCCGTGAGAGGGGAGGGGAGGGGACGCGGCAGCTCTGTGGTAAAAACCCGCCCTCAGCAGGGCTGTACCACACAAGCTGGTATCCCCCCGGGCTTCTGTGTGATGCCTAGGTACCCGCCCTGCAGCCGGGCTCCCGCGCCCCATCTCGCTGCATCCAACCTGGGGCTAGAGAGGCACCGACTACACTCGCAGCTCAGGCACAACCCCTTTGTTATCCCCGCTGGGCGCCCCACCCTCCGCTCGCCCCGCACTGCGCACGCGCGCGCCCTCCGCTAGTGAGCGCGCGCCGGGGCAGTTGCGGCTCTAGGTGCGTCTGATTGGCACGCGGACCGCGAGCCCGCGGCGGTAACGTGTCTCCCCCGGTGGCCAATGGGAGCGAGCAGAGGGGAGGGAGCATGAGCCTCGCCCCTTGGCGCCATCTCCCCTCCCCCCTCCCACCCCGTCTTGGGCGGAGCCGGCGGGCGGGCAGGCGCTGGCCTGGCAATGATGGCGGACGATGGGGACGGTCAGCTAAGGACTGAGGGGAGCGACGGCCTGGGGGCGGCGGGCGCGGAGGAAGAGGCGGCAGCGGGGGGAGGGGGGGGGGCCGGCGAGGCCGCCGCCCTGCCCCGCATGAAGCGCCGGGACTTCACGCTGGAGCAGCTGCGCGAGTTCGACGGCGCCCGCAAGCCGCACATCCTGCTAGCCGTTAACGGCAAGGTCTTCGACGTCACCAACGGCAGCAAGTTCTACGGGCCCGGTGAGCGCCTCGCCCGCCCCCCTGCGGCTGCGCGCCGGGCCCCGGAGGGTCGGGGTAGGGGAGAGCCAGCCGCACCTCACAGGCAACCCACAGTGTGTGTATGTGTGTGTACACATGCACACACATCTTACTTATTCCTATGCGCCTATCTTGCTAGATATGCAAATACTTAAGCATGTCTGTACGCAGGGCACAAGCTTTTGTGAACTGATTCAGTGAGCTTCAGCTCAGGAAAGCTTGTGCAAATGTGCATGCATACAGTTGGGGGTGTACATATATGTGTGCACACACATCACCCATATACATATATACGTAGTTAGCTTTAGCTTTTCCGAGCTGAAGCTCCTTTCAAACCACAAAAGCGCGTGCTTTGTCTCTAGGTATACGTATATTTATCTTTGTGTGTGTGTGTGTACATACCCACGCACGGCCCATACACTACTATGTGTATACCACAAGCTTTCCTGAGCTAAAACTCACTTTAAAATTCACAAAAGCTTGTGCTGCGTGTGTGTGTGTGTGTGTATATATATATATATATATGTATATATAGATGACTCTCTCCTCTGTGTGTGTATACACGCACACACTATTATGTGTATAGTAAAAGCTTTCCTGGGCTGAAGAAGCTCGCTTCATCAGTACACAAAAACTTGTGTGTCTGCGTGCACATGCTTTAGTTAATCTCCAAGGTGCACATCTACCCTCTTTCTTTTATGATCAGAGACTTACAAGGCAAGCCATACGAGGAAAGACTGAGGGACCTGGGAGTAATGGTCACAAATTCCAGGAAGACTGTTTCAGGCTCAACATTAGGAAAAACTACTTCACAACTAGGGTGTCCAGACTGTGGACTAAGCTCCCTCCAGAGGTGGTGCAATCGCCTACCTTGGAAAGCTTCAAGGAGAGACTGGACAGGCACCTTGCTGGGGTCACCTCACCCCAGTTGTCTTTCCTGCTTGGTGCAAGGGCCTTCTGAGGTCCCTTCCAGCCTCTTACAATCTATGAATCCTGCAGGGAGCCAAAGCCCACAGACTTTTTCCTCTGACTAATAATTTAGAGCATAATTTAGTTTTTTCCCAATGATTCCATACAACTGTGTAGAAGCCTGAATCAGCACTGGCTTGGTGACTTCATCCTAACGCTACAACTGGGGGTGGGAATCTGGACATCACTTACAGTGCAAATGACTTATTTATTCCTGAGCCCACAAACTTTAACCCCTGGATAAAGCCTTAGTATTAACAAGGCTTCCAAGTGTTTTAAATTTAACCTTATCTCTTGGGTGCAAAGATTGCCTGTGAGGTGTAATTTTCTTGGTTTTAAACAATGGTGTTTTGGAAAAATGTGACACAATCAGATGTTGTGAGGGCTTTTTTAAATAGTAGGTTAATGGTATATTTTAAAAAAGTCTCATTTCTCTATCTCTTTTGAACAAATCTGATTTTCTCTTCTAATGTTCTTGGCCTTAATATTCTTGCTCATTAGTCAGTTTCATTGTGTGGTTCTTCATTAGTAGTAATCTAGATCTGTACTATAAACATTGTTTTCCATCATCTAAAGGAACTGACATAACTAAACATGAGGAGTGCTTTAAAACATTCCTACTACAGGGCACTGTAATATCTGCACTTCAGGCCTATACTGCTTGGTCATACCTTCTCTTATTGGGCAGTAAAAGCTCTCAGTTCAATTTGTTGTTGTTAAATGAGTCTGTTCTGTTCTGTTTTTATTACAAGTGGTATTAGGCATGTGCATGCAGACACACTGGTTTTAGCTTCTTTTGTAGACAAAAATAATCCTCAGTACTAGAGCAGAGGTCTGTTTTATTCTGAGAGTCAGACTATTTCACACGCTGTATATCGATGCTGAAAACATCTGTCTAGTTGTCAAATCTCTACCAGTTCAGGAGGCCTAAACAGTTGTCTGCTCTTCATAGGTTGGATTTTCAAACTGGAGGGAAAGGGTTAACATTTTAGCAGATTATCTAATATGAAAAAGTGGTGTCCATTTATGATGGACTGAGTTAATATGATGTCTTTTGCTGAATTTTTTGAGAGCAGAATTGTGGTGGGAAGGAGATCATCTGTTGGTGAAAATGGTTTGAAGGTTGTACAAGTAGTTATTTACATTATCAGTGGCCTTTGATTTAATAGACTTTGTTCCAGTTCTTTGTGTAGTACTTAATGAAAACTAAACTGTTTGCTGAGGATGATGATGAAAGTTAGCAAGCAAGCTGTAAATTGTGCCCAAAATGATCAAAATGTATAATTAGTTATAGTCAGGTAAAATATTACTCATAATGATTCAGTTTGACCATATTTGTGAAGCACCTGTGGGTTTAATTGCTGCTAGTCCTAGGCAATTTTTACATTAGTACGTAGTGGTGTCGGTGTCTTGTATTTCTGATATGCTTATAATGATCCTGGGATAGGAAGTCCTGGTAATTGGGGGAAGATTGTAGTAAATGTTTTTGATTTAATGTTTTATTTTCACATTCAACCACATAAATATGTTCAATGAAATTAGGTGGTAGATTTCTCTTATCTAGCATTTTTTTAAATGCGTGCAAGCGCTTCAGTGAACAATAAATAGGAGTTAGGTTTCTATACATTTTCATTTTAATATAGTCACGGTTACTTTACAGTTCAGGTTGTGATAGTGTGTAAAGATTCTGTATCAGTTAGATTCACATTAGAATGAAAATAAAAGTCCCAGTCTTTAAAAATGGTGATGAGAGAGCACCTGTGGTATATCATCCCATTGGTTTTATGTGTATTCCAGCGATAAAATTTGGAAGACACTCT